ATATCCTTTCCCCGGCTGAGAGAGGAGCCCAGGCTCCTTCTCCGTCATCTTCAAAAGCCCTGCTCTGGCAGGGCCCAAAACCTCTGTTTCACCCTGACTGCGCTTTCTCCTGAAAGACTTTCATTCCTCCAACATGAGACAAAAATAAGAAACCTCCCCCTGGCTGCTTTGTGTCCAGCAGCACCTCCATGAGAAGGATGCGAAGGGGAGCGATGGGTGCAGACCCAGGCGAATCAACACCGCCTCCCCTCCGAATCGGCACAATCGGTCACAAATCATGAAAGCGGGGGCTGGCACGCCTGTGTGCAGGGCAGGGGCTTCTCGGAGCCCTTCCCCACCCTGCGGTCCCAGTCCTGGGCTTTCTGCCCTGTTTGCATCCCTGGACTGTGGACCCCAATTCTCTCCCCAAGCAGAGACATCCCGGCAGGACACGGCACAGGGCTCTGGGCACACGACAGTGGGACAAGGAGCTGCGAGTGCTCCTGAAGTCATCCTCGGCACGGGAGAGCGTGATGAGAAATAGGAGCGAACGACACCGTTGGGAGCAGACAGCAAGAGGGGAGGGAAATCCGTGCGCAAATGCATTCGCCGCGTGGCCCGGCTCCTCAGCTGGAGTGTGCGAGCGGCGGTGGAGCCCGGCCAGCTCCCGGCAGCTGAGATTTGCAGGGGGGGAGAGAGGAAGGGGCATTTTCCAGAGGTGAGAACAGCAGCCCAATGCAGGCACAAGGAGAGCAGACGGGGGGGGTGCTGCTGACCCCAACCGCAGCCGGGGAGACCCCCGCAACCCTCGGCTCCCGCTGCCGGCACGGAGGCCAAGCGACGGCATCTCACGAGCAGGAGATGCTGCGGGGGTCCGTGGCAGAGGCATGGGGGGCAGCCTGCTGGCCTCCCCCTGCTTTTTGAGGCCGCTTCTTGCCATGGCGTGGCTAACAGTCCCCACCTACCGGTCTGCGATTTCTCCCGTGACCGGATGCACGGGAGGCAAGCGTGGGCACGCAGATGCTCGCCGCAAGGACGCGACCCGCCATGGACCCGTGGTCCCCCATGCCCTCCCCCCCAGCCATGGGCTGGGGGGTGCGATTCCGCCGTGGGCTGGCTCGCCCATTGCTGATGGGGCCACACACCGTGAATTTCGCTTCCCCCGTGAAAAAATAAAAGAGGGAGCGAGAAGGAAAAGGCGTCGGATGGAAAACACCCTGGCTGCCTGCTGGGGGGAGTGGAACCAGCTAATTTCATGCGTCTCCTTCTCGTTAGAGTGGGGTCCCTCCTCACCTGCTCCTGGGCACGGTTTCCTGCACCACAAGCCAGCAACAAGGAATCTGACTCCAGTTTAAAGGCGAGGAGCTTGTCCACGGTTTGTAGCCCAGCTCCCATCCCAGGAGGGGACGCGCCCGGAGCCGCTGCCCGCGGCGGGCAGGGTTTACCAGCTGTCCGCACCGATCTCGTGCCTTGCCACCTCCCTCCGCACCAGCCCGTGGCAGGGGGATGTGGAGAGCCCTGCGCTGGGGGGGCTCACCCCTGCCCAGCACCGTCCCGGGGTTTCCCTGTTTGCTCCTGTTTGCACCCAACCACTGCTCCGTCACCGCAGGGTGTCTGGGGGCGAGCGGCTGCCAGCACCCTCTCCCAGACTGTAATGGGGCTCAGCGCCGATGCCCTGGGCTCCGTATGGAAAATCCTGGAGAAAGACACCCCCTGACACACCATCCGGGGGCACTCCTTGGCTTGGCCCCAGCCAGGGGGCTCTTGCGCTTTCACATACCCCAAAGGCTGCTCACTCCCATCTCAGCCCTTCCCTCTCGTCCTGCCGGCCCCCAACCCCCCTCTGCCCACCCTGGGACCCTGAGGCGCCCCGCTGCCTGCTGAGGACACCGTGCAAGCCCCCACACCCCCCACAGCCCGCAATGCGGCCATGGAACTCACTCTGCTTCCCACGCCAGGCTCGTATACAGCCAGGGCTGCCCGGAGCATCCTCCGCACGGCTCCCTGCCTGCTGCACAGGGAGCTGAAAACACCATCCCTCTCCCCTCCGTTTGGCGAGCGGAGCCCAGCCCGCAGAGCGCAGCATCCCCCTCCAGCACCCAGCATTGCTGTGCTGTGGAGGGGTGACATCGCCCCCCCAATTTAGGGACAGGCGGGGGCCGTGCTCCAGCAGCAGAGGCTGCTGGCAGGCAGCAGGCCAGGCTCTGCATCCCCTTTGGAGATCCTTCTTCGGCTGCGACTCACGCCAGGCACCCCAGCATCCATCCGCAGCCCCCCCCGGGGTCGGGCAGCACCTCCTCATCCCCGGCTCTGCATCCCAGAGAAAACAAGCAGCTGAGGCCAGCACCAGCCCTGGCTCCTCGGGGGCCCCACGCCGCTGCTGGCTCCGAGGACGGGACCCCGCTGAGCTACTGAAGTGCTAAAAACGAGCCTCCAGGCCCTTGTGTGAGCTTTTGTGTCGTGCTTGGCATGGGGAGAGCTCGACTGTGGCGTGGACGCGGGCACCGCGCCAGGAAAAACACACGCCGCGGGGAAAGGTGGGCGCGTGCACGTGCGAGCGCGTTCCCAGCCCTCGAGCCTGGGCGGCCGCGGCGCGTTAGGCTGACGTGTCATGCGTGTGCACGGCCCGATTTACACTTTCCCTCCTCAAAATGGGCGCCTGGGTGTCGGTGGGTGATGTTCAGCGGGGAAAAGCCCTTCCATGCAGGAGCCCGTGCATCCAGCCCTCCCCGGTGCCCTGCCTCAGCCTCCTCCTCCTCACAGCTGATGGGTGGACGTGTTGGGGTGCACAGCCCCCCCTGCCCACCCCGTGCCCTCCCACCACCCACCTCACAGGCATTGGTACCAGCTTCCCATGGAATGCAGCATCTCCTTTTACGCTTGATGCTGAATCTCTCAAGCCGGTGACTCTGCCGGCCCCACAGCCTGCAGCGGAGAGGAGCGTTGCTCTGTGTCTGTGCAAAACAGCCCAAGCAGAGGATTTATCCCCAGTTTGTTGGAGGTTTCATCCTGGCTCAGCTTGCAAAGACGGGATGGCGAGCTGGGAAGCAACCTGTGCCCTCCCACCAGCCCTGTGCCAGGGCTCAAACCCACTCCCCAGCTGGCGACGGGCACCCCGTGAAGCCACCAACTCACCCGGGTCTGGTACAAACCTTTTATTTCCCCTCTGCCCACACCGCCCAGCCAGCTTGGGGCTGGGTTTGCCCTTTGGAAGCGAAGCCGGGGGGCTCTGCGGCCGCCCTCTCCCCTGAGCTCGCAGCCTGGGTTGCACTCCGGGGACGGGGACAGCCGCCGTGGCTGGGACACCACCACAGACACCTCTGAGCTTTACACTGAGCCGAGCGGCCAAAAAGCAACAACGAAAAGTGTACCCCGAAACGGACACAAGACCCCCCCCCCCTCCCCAACCCATTTCCCCAAACCCAGATATGTTGCACGGGTGGAAGTGATACGGAGCAGCACAAAACCAGCGGGGATGGGGACGAGAGCCCCCCACCCGCCATGCCATGGCCCCCCAAGACTGCTCAGCACCAGGGAGCAGCCAGCACACGGAGAGAGCCTAAAAACCCAAGGGTGGAGAGTCGCAGGTAATAAGTTAATCTGTACAGATGTGTTAGGTGGACGCACGGGTGGCAGGGACAGCCACCGCTGGGCCGTCCCTCCCGAGCGCGGGGGTGTCCCCACGGGGCGCCGGGGGCCGATGAACAACATGCGGGCGCAAATCAAACCACAAAACAACGCACGAATTCAAGTGATGGAGAACGGCAGGGAGATGGGGAGATACCCCGGCTCGCACCGAGCCCGGCTGCGGGAGCAGAGCCCTGCAGAGCAGGGAGAGGGAGGGGACCCCTCCACACCGAGGGGCTGTGCTGGGGCAAGCCGAGGGGGGCCCCGCTTTGCCGGGAGCCCCCCAGGGCTGGCCCCTGTTCCCAGGGCAGCACATGAGCCTGGGGACCCGGAGGCTGAGCTGCTCCCAGCATCGGGCAGGGATGCTGAGCCCAGGACGGAGGCAGCCCGGCAGCTCCCACCTCCTGCCTGAGCTCGGGTGCGCCACCCCGGCTCCCACCCAGCCCGGCTGCGGGAGCAGAGCCCTGCAGAGCAGGGAGAGGGAGGGGACCCCTCCACACCGAGGGGCTGTGCTGGGGCAAGCCGAGGGGGGCCCCGCTTTGCCGGGAGACCCCCAGGGCTGGCCCCTGTTCCCAGGGCAGCACATGAGCCTGGGGACCCGGAGGCTGAGCTGCTCCCAGCATCGGGCAGGGATGCTGAGCCCAGGACGGAGGCAGCCCGGCAGCTCCCACCTCCTGCCTGAGCTCGGGTGCGCCGGAGCAGCACGAGGCGGGGAAACGCCACCTCATCTTCTGCTCGATCCCACCAGCAACCCACCGGCATCGAGGCCCCAAAGGCATCATGGAGCAGGGAGGGGAAGGAGCCATTCCGGGCCCCTCTTGTGGCTCCGGGAAGGGGCTGGCTGGGTCCTCGCGTGGGCACAGAGGCAGCGAGATTCGCTCCTCTCTCCGGCTGCCAACGCCAAATCCATTCGCCACGTTTCGGCTCCCCCAGGCAAACGG